TGTGTGTGTGTGTGTGTGTGTGTGTGTGTGTGTGTGTGTGTGTGTGTGTGTTTCCAGCTTCATTTGAGTTTTCCTTTTGAGCAAATTGGCATCATCAGAACTCAGAATCTTCTTTATTCTGTACAATACTTTGTGAACAAAACAAGCTGAGATTAGGTAACATAAGGATTTTGTTTGAGCTTGTGATGCATCTCTGCTTCTCTCAGGTCGAGGTCACCTTCAATTTTTTGGAAATCAGAGCAATGAACACCTACCCAGAACACCAGGTGAGAGCGGCGCTTCCTGCCAACTGTACCGTCGTAGCAGCGTTGACTCTCATGGGATTAAAACTGTCATTGTCGATATAGGTAATCATCGATACAGACAAGACCACCTACTCGCTGAGGCTGCAGACCCAGGAACAGCTGGATCACATGGTCAGCCACATCAACTATGCCCTCTCCAGAGTCTTCAACAACTCAATTTATGCGTAAGCAATGTCAAGCGTCGCCATCCTCGAGCAAAGTGCCGAAGCTTTCTGTTTTTGTGCTTTATGTTGCTGAGCAGCAAAGGCAAGTTGTCCCACGTTAACAGACTTTGACAGTGTGTTGGCAAGTTGGCAGCTTCACTTTAGGATTGCTTTCCTCTTTAACAGCCAAAAATCATTCTTATCTTGCAGTAGTTTCCCTCCAACCCATTTCTGTGTCATTGTAGACTCTTACACCTAGCAATCACTGGGCTTAATTTGCCAGCTGACACTGAGTAGGCTGCTACCGCGAGGCACGGTTTCGTTTTCTTGCTGTTTACGTAGTACTTTCAGTCAGTAGATGCTGTCGCCTCAAACCCTGAAGTCAAAAGAAACACATTCTTATGCCGATGAAAATCCTACAGCGGGCACTGAACGTCCTCTACGCTTTAATCTAAAGCGGTAAAGCGCAAAGGATGCACACAATGAAAAGCCCAGAAAGTTTTGTCCCGCAGTCATTAGAATGCATGAGGAGGAAAGGAAGGCACAGAGTTTGTTTCCCTCTCTCTTAGTTCTCATCTACAATTTCTGAGAGCACTGGGATTGACTGTGCTCCACTATTGACCTGCACAAGGCTATCTCTGCACTTTATCATCGTTCAGAATAGCTCTTTTCCATTAGGGCCGCGGCAGATGATTGCTTCCAGTGAGGACATTTAAAGAGAAATAAAGAAAGGGGAGAGAACACAGGGAGGAACCTTGTGTTGTGGGTTTAATTGTGCGGCCCGGTAACTGATTGGTACACGATGCAGATAGTATCTAGAGAGTGTGCACGTATGCACGCTCTGGGGCGGATGATGATGATTGCGGAGATAAGGCAGGGATTAAGGTCACGGATGTTGTTGGGTGTTGTGTGTGTGATTTTGTTGACAAATGCGATTAAGGATGGTGTGTGTTGAATTCCACAGTGTAACGGTGTAATCCTATCAAAAAGCCAAAGCAGGTACAGCCGCAGTACTATGTGTGAACACAGTATTTGCTTTCTGATCCATCCCTACACGCTCTGCTTACTTGTTGTTTCTTTCTGATGCAAATAAGGCAGAAAGGTAGAAAAGGTGGATGAGCTATGTTTTGCAGGAGTTCATTTGAGATCTCAATGTTTAAGTCAAATTTCCTTTTAATGTCCTAATTTCACTGGACGTTGTGTAAGGATGTATCATTATGATACCTACCAGGGTGTGAGCCTGCTGGGAATACGGGTTATACTCATTCATTCGAACCTTGGTGCATCCTTGTGTCTTTGTATAGTCTCTTGGGCACTACAGTACTCCGCTTAAGCCACTGGGAGTTCAATGTCTTGCTTAAGGACTCTTTAGCAACAGCACTAAAGGAAAGAAGTATAATATTTAGAATGTACCTTTTCCCAAACCTCTAACTGATACCAGAGGCCTTCTCATTACAAAAAATACTCATTAATAATCCAGCCGAGTGCCTCTCTCCATAAAATATAGATGACAAATATACTTATTAGGTATTGTTGCAGCAGGGTTCGTGGATTTATAGTGAACCATCTCAATGGGCCACATACAGCCCACTTTGATCAAAGAAACTCTCATTTCACATCAGATTAAAGATAACTACTTAACTAACTATACTTTTAATGCTATAGGTGTTTAACTAAGAGGTTTACCTTAATTACTGTTGTGTAGTATGAATAGCAGGGAAGTTCTAAAACTTGTGAAAATACAGTTGAAAGTCTAAAACCTATGCCTGCCTTTAAATTTCCAAAGGTGTCAGGAGATTGGAGTCTTAGCTGGGCAGATACTGGCCCCTGGGCCTTATGTTTGACACCCTGCTCTAACTCTGTGGGAGGGTGGAGCTTATACCAGTTGACATGTTACCAGTCTATTACAGGAAGACTAATGATCATTCATGCTCACAATCACATTTATGGCCACTTAGCATCACCAATTAGCTAAATGTGCATGTCTCTGGACTGTGAGGGGAAGCCGGAGGACTGGGAGAGATGCATGCAAACAAACAGTACCCAGCCTGCTGATGGATTTAAACCCAACAATTCCACCACTGTTCTGCCCTATAATGAGGCAAATCTCATTTTTATCTGGGTGCCATTGTTGCTGGTTAATCTGACAGGGAGAAACCTGAACCAGCTCAATCTAATAAAAAGAAATCCTAGCTAAAATGAAAGGTTCGGCTATTTTCACTTTATGTGCGTTCTGCAGCAGGCGTCTTTATTTAGTCAGAGGTTGTTTAGTCGTAGTATTACACCACAGGATGCCTAACACATGGACTTATTGCCTTTAAGAGCTGAGTTTGTTGGCTGCACACTAGCTGAATGTCCTGTCCCTGCTCTTTCCACACATTTCCTGGCTTATCTCTACTGCATTATATGAATAAAGGCCAGACTAGACTATGGTTTAGAGCAGGGGTGTCAAACTCAAATACACAGTGGGCCAAAATTCAAAACTGGAACAAAGTTGCGGGCTAACGTTAATATTTATTGAAATATATTTATTCCTCCAGATATAAGAATGAATCTTTTCTTATGGACTCAAACACGTTTTGCTGAAAAACTGAATATGGAGCAAGCAAAGCTTAATACTAAACAATATATATATTAGCTGTATAATACCAGTAGGCCAGCTCTAATAGTAATTTGGTATGGCTTCGCGGGCCAAATGTAAGTAGGCTGCGGGCCAAATTTGGCCCGCGGGCCAGAGTTTGACACCTATGGTTTAGAGGATTGCCATGAATGTAAGTATCCTGCTTAAATTATGATTCACATCAAATGAGCTTTTCAGTCAGATCAATTACAATTTTGTTTTAGTACAAATGTACAGTTGTTGATTGAATGCAGTACATACAATTACAATTATTAATTATTTAATAAGCATTTCACACATTAAGCTTCTTTTCTTATTGTCAGTTGAAATTGAAATTGTTTTTTCTTCCCCCACAAAGAGGATAGAATTTTAAATGCTGGATAACAGTTTAGTCAACTGCAATCAAAAATGTACATATTAAATGACTATAATTCCATTCAACTTCACATGTACCTTGTGTTTCATTCAAATCTGCACATGATGGCCTGGGAAGCTCTAAGATGTTGGACATGGCAAGCATTAAACTGGCTGAACATCTGCACTTTGGCGTCATCATTGCCAGCACGAGCTAGCTTTGAATCTCCTTCCTCTCTTTGTTTCAGCCCTCCTATTTGTCGAGCAGAGGGAGAAATGCCCGATGGGAGTCACAAGTTTTCACCGAACTCTGAGTCATCATTAGATCCCCAGAAAACTTGCGGTGAGAGCCCTGCTACCTTTCTAACCACATCTCACACGCACATTCATACATGCAGCACTTCAGAGTCCATTCACACGCTGACTCAGTAGCTCACAGCAAACCATTTTGGAGACTTGTCCATAAGTGGGTCAGAAGACCAAAGTTACTGGATGCACTTGCTTTCTGCTAGTAATCCTATTAATCTACAAGAAGAGCTCCTTCATGGTTCTGTACTTTCATCTCACCTCAATATTTACAGCTAATCTCTCCCTCTCAGCTGACTATCTCTGTCTCACTCTTTTTGACTCCCTCTTTCATCTCTGGCCTGCACCCTCTCCCCTCTTCGTTTCTCCATGTCTTCTCCGCTACTTCATTCTATCCTTGCCATTTCCGATCTGTCATGGTCTAGTTTGAATTGACTTGTTGTCCTCTCCTTTGTATTTTCAGGAGGTTTTTCTGAGACTTATGCAGCTCTCTGCGATTACAACGGTATTGGCTGCAAAGAAGAAGTGCAGTGGGTGAGGAAAGCATACTCGCAGAACAAATCCACTTGTGTTTGTTGTCTATATTACCTTTTGTAGATTGCTATTCTTTGTAGAGTGGAAAATATATTTTTCATGATACTGTCTCATATCTATCTCAAACTCTGTCTGTTATTGTTTGTTTCCCTCCTCCTCTCTGTTCCAGGATGTTGACACAATCTATCACTCTCAGGACAACAGGGAGTTCAACTTACTGGATTTCAGCCACCTCGACAGCAGGTGAGGTAGTTTACTGACATTGTGGCCATGCCTAGTCTTAGTACAGTGTGGGAGCTCGCACTGATTTGAACAGCTCAATTAACTAACAAAGTTAGTTGCAGAGAGCAAATGGACACATTAACGCAAACTCATTGTATTTGATATTCATTAGTTCTGCTGGAGTCAGTCTTTGGCAGATGTATGTAACCCACAGACATCAGCCAGGCGTTTGGCACGCTCACTCGTGCTGCTTTGCCAGAATCGGCCTGCAGCCACCTTTCTTTTCCTACTGATTTAGTGGGTTTTTTCTTCCTTTCCAGTCTGATATGGAATACCCGTCAAGCTACATTTCTGCACAAGTCAAGGCCGTTCCACTGAACGGCTCAGTATAGGTGTAGTTCTACACCAAGTTTTGCGTATGAGTGTGCAAAATCATTTCATTTGAAAAGATTCTCACAGGGATCACTTAGTTCCCAGATGGTTCCCACATACATGTACTTCACGTGATCAAATTAGAGGCAAGTACAGAGAAACTTTTGCCAGTTCAACAGAGGAAGGCTTTCTAGGGTGAAAGTCAGCAAAATCAGTTTTCAAGTGAAGGGCAGCAGATTTTGAGCTATTTATGGCCTGCAATTTTACCCGCTAGCCATCCAATTCACAGGTCTACGGAAACCACATTGCTTTATGGGCACGGATCTTTTGAAATGAAATAAGATATAGACCTTTTTTTTCCTGCTCTCTTTTGTCTTCACCTAATCAGAGTTGAAGTGGGAGGTTTTACAGAATTATCCATTTGCTCCTGCTGGAGTTCAGGGTTACAGTTCTCTAATTGGTCTCTGGATGACAGCTTACAAAATCATCTCCTCGTGTAGAGAATGAAAAGTTTGTATCAGCTCAACCAAATTCTTCCCTGCTCTCTGTCATGGTCCTGGGCCATGTGGGCCCAGTATTCTTAGTTTCTTGTATTTTTGTATTTCGTTCCTTATTTAGGCCATGTTTCCTAAGTTGTCCTGTTGTGGTGTTCCTTATTTGACTTCCCCTTGTGACTTTTATCCCCTGTGTGCCCCTCTATGTATCTGTGAGCCCTCATCTCCCCTCCTTGTTTCATTCCATGTTTCCCCAGCCCACTATGCCCGTGCTCTCTCTCTCCTCCTGTTTGCACCTGTGTACTTCCTGTTTTACTTTGACAGTCTCCCGTCAGTGTTGTTTACTCCTGCCATGTCTTGTTATGTTTATCTGTGTCAGCTGTGTTCCCATATGTGGCCACTTCCCCTGATCATCCCTCTTGTGTATTTAGTCTCTGTGTTTCACGTAGTCTGTGTCGCGTCGTCTGTGTCGCGTCGTCTGTGTTACCACCCCTGTGTTCCGTATCTCCAGCCATAGCTTTTTCTTAGTTTATGTCCAGTTTAGGTTTTCTGTTTGAACTATTACCCTTATACTGCCCTCGCTCTGGTTTGTTCTGTTATCAGCCATAATAAAAGGCTCGCTTTTGTTTAATCCACTCCTGCATCTTCGCTTGTGTTCGCGTCAGGGTCCAACACACACATTCCCACACGGTCTATCTCCACGGACCGTGACACTCTCCAGGCCCAGTTTGACCTTTTCATTCTGTCAACATAGAGAAGAGGGAAAAAAGAAGACATTATTACCAACATGCGTGAACTGATTTATGGCTCTGAACTGTAGAAGATAAGAAAACTGCATAAATTGATTATGGGTCCAGAATTACCGTCTCACTGGGTTTAGGTGTGTTGTAAACAAATGTAATAAAGCGGTCGACGGGGAATTGAAAGTCAAAACTCAGCACTTAAAACTAATGGTGATTTTATATCCCAGTGCTCTGGAGTAAAGACCAAAAACAATAAAAACACATCTGTGTTCTTGGGCTTTATGAGTGCCTTGTAGTTTTGGAAGAGGTCTGCATTTTATTTTGCATCACGGTGGACTGTTTTTTTTTTTCTTCTTCTTCTTTTCCTGTGTGTCTCTTCAGCTGTCACTGTTCATCTTTCCTTACACGAGAGCGGCTATTTGTCTAACAAGACCCTCTGTGGTTAAAATTTTGAGTGCACTACTCTTCTGTTGACTCTCTGGCTCCCTTTCCCTCCTGTGCTTCTGTTGGGTTTTGTTAGAAGTTTGCTAAGATCTTAGATGATGTGGAATGAAACACCTTCAGAGGCAGAATCCACAACTTTAAGATGCCATGTGTGCTCTCCTCTACTTCCCTGCTGGTACCTTTTTTTTTGTCTGTGTGTGCGTCTACTTTTTCAGACGTATAGTGTCGGAGCGCAGAACTTGCCCAACTGATACGATCATAAAAAGATTTGACAGCTGACATGCAAAAGCAGAATTCAGACGAGCTTATTTTTGTTTCAAGATTCATTTATTTATTTGTTTTGTCCTTAAAAAGCCCAGAAGTGTATATGGTTTCTACTTTCTTGTGTAGCAACAGCACTTCTGACTTAGAAAACATATTCACATTTAAAAACGTAGATCTCATCATAGGAGTGAAACCTTGCTATGGTGGTAAATCAAAAATCCATTCATAGAAACATGATTGCAGCAGAGGCTCATGAATATATTAATGTCTTTCGCATTGAGAGCCCAAATCGCTGCCTTTCTGTTGTTTTTGTTGTTGTTCGTTTGTTTTTTTGTACAATTTCTTCATATTCATTGTGATAAAGTGGGAGCTGCCTGCCCGTACTGTTTTTCAAGATCTTCCTTCACCATATTGTTCCCATAAGCCCACAATCCCATGCTCAAGAGTCTGTCTCTCTCCAGCCCGTATCAAATCACGGCTGATAAAGGAAGCGAAGAATATCACAAAAAAATAAATAAATAAATGCAGGAAATAATCAAGAAAGTCTGTAAAATGGCCACACAAACAATGTAAGAATGGGTTGTTCCGTGATCATGTGCCAGAGGCTATTTGTGGTGCATTACTCTTTTCCTCCCTTCCTTGTCCTTTCACATTTCTATTCCCTCCATCTCCCCCGATTGATCTCATCTACCGTTACCGCGAGCGACAGGGCGATGCTTTTTCTGCTGACTGCTGTCTGTCCAAACACAGACTGTGCTCACTCGTGTTGACTGAAAACGGACACCTTTTTTCAGGGCCCGTCTCGTCCTCGTCATCTTTGCTTCCTGTATTGGCTCCCCATTCGTTCTCCTCGGCTGAGTCGCTGTCACTCTGGGTTCTGTGTGTCTACTGCAAAGTCACAAATAGGTGGAGTGTTTGTGAACTTGGGTAGAGATTCTGTGGTTTCATACAGTTGCTTGTTTGGCGAGTGAGAGAGACAGAGAGAGAAAAAAACTGTTACGCCTTGCTGACTCAAGAACATGTAGAGGCACCTCTTGGATTGACAGTCCACCCTCTGTGTGCATACACACATGCTAATAAGCGCTTGTCTATGTAGAGTGTCCAGCTGCTTTCCAACTTTCTGACTAGTTTAATTTTTCCTGTTACTAAAGTTGGACTCCATAACAAGCCGGGCCATCTGCCCCACCTGTCACTATTACTGGATCTGAGTTGTGTTTAGAACGGAGTTAAACTGTAACTTTGATTCATTGCAATGCAGCACATTCATATGCTTTGAATGGAGCTTTCTTCCTGCTGGAGCGGCTGATAGGATTTGCTTTATTTTTGCAGCACTTAGAAGACTTTGAATTTTATTATGGTTCAAATAGTTACTGTCAAGATGTCAGTCAAGATGATGCTAACGCTATCAGACTGTTAGCCTAGATTAACCACTTAGACTCTGTTGAAAGGTTACTTAGCACCTGTAATGCTGATAAATGACCTTATAGAGTATTTTCATTAATATATTGTTTGGCAAGTAGTGGAGAGTCTAAGGAATTTTGATCGTCAGTTTGACGCCCAGCCAAGATTTGGTTATTTTAAAAATCCACATTCAAATAATAGATTTTCATAATTATTTATGTTCTGTTAGCTGCTGCTTGGTTGTTGTGTTTATAAACATGTATGTTGCCAACAAGGAAGATGCGGAGTGCCCTCTGATGGGCAAACTATGCGACATCAACTTCAATAAAATGGTTGAAGGGCATTTCTTGTATCTATTGTTTACATTACTTTTGAAATTTTCATGTATTTGACGTTGAAAATGCTTATACTGATATATCGGTAAATTACCACCAATGTACGCTAAATCTGATAGGTCGATCAAGAGTTTTCAATCTTGGTACTTTATTAGCCTTCCTTCATGATAGTGATGCACTTATCTCTTTGCAAGAAAACAATTAAGCATACAGTACTTTGCAAAAGTCTTAAGCTATCCTCTTTTTCTTTATATTTTGCTAAGAATGTTAAGTAGTGCAGGAGTTTATTGAAACCTGAACGGCATGAACTCTCTTAGGTAACTTTCATGTAATTAGTAAGGAGTCTTCAGAAATAGTCCTCCGGGCTTCTTGAAGAAGATTCAAAGCGCTTCTTTGGAGGTTGTTTGCCTTTGTTTCTGTTCTCTGTCAAGATGCTTCACTGCTTCAGTAATGTTGAGATTTGGGCTCTGGAGAGACCAATGATAAATGAAGCTGTTGCAGTCAGATTCATTGGTCAGTGTTAAGCAGCTTAACAAACAAAAAATAGTCTTCTGAAAATGGTCAGATTCAAGTGTCAGGTATAAGTGAAAATCTTACATCTTAAGACAAACTTTTAAATAAACCAGGAAAACTATTTCTTAAGACCAATTTCATGAAATTTCACAAAAAAACAAACCAAAATAGGAAATGAGGGGTGATCATGTTTAGAATGATTTACCCAATGCAGACTCAAGGCACAGAATTAAAGAACAGAAAACAAACATTTATTAAGGCCAGGCAGACAGTACAAAGGCAGGTGAAAACCATAAATCCAAACTGGAGATCCATGAGGGAAAACAGAGGTGTGTAAACAGTAAGATGCAACAAAGCCCTGAGGGTAGACAAAGGCTATAAATACACTCTACATAACTAGGGTAATGGGAAACACTGGGGTACAATGGGGTTGTAGGGTGACCGTGGCTCAGGGG